GATGACGATTATGAACTATGCTCTTTTGTTTTGAGGTAAGTTCATAATTCCGGCTGTGTAGAACTTCAGTGGCAAAGAACTTGGCCAAATATATTCAGTGTTTAGTCGATTGCCCAGTTTTTTAAGCATGAAAAGAATTTTATAGAGTCTAAAGAAATGGAAGTCAGATGATGCAGAGTCCGGCTTATAAGGTGGGTGCATCAAAACTTCCCAATCAACCACCGTCATTTATTGCCTGGATATCAAAAATATATACGATCTGACATAATGAAACACAACACCTTTTTTATTAATGAATTCTCCAGCCTTCTTGATTGATTGTTTGCGGTAGGACATAAAACTCATCGTTTCGTCAGGATTTATAAATGTGGAAATAGTGGGAAATAGTGGGAAATTCCCTTTCAATCCCAACATACACTCAATTTCACCGTGTTCGTCATTAATGCAGGCTCTTTGAAGTCGTGTGTGGAGGATCGCCGGCTTTTAGAATAATTTTTCATACGAATAACAGTTCAAAGAACTATATTCAAAAAAATGTTAAGGACATGTTGGTGTGGCACAATCGGATTAGTATCACCCAGACTAGTATCAACTTCAACTAGAGACAAGATCCTCACCGACTCATACAATATTTAAGTCTACTTTTAAGCCAAATATGATGAACATAAAGTATTGCCTACCATTGGGAGTATGAAATTTGAGCGCAGATGCACGCCAGAAAGTGATAACAAACATACGAAAAAATATTAGGTTCATAAATAAAAAAATGATGAATATTTTTATTGAAAATTTTTCATAAAAAATCAGGATCTTTGACTTTAAATTAAATAAATGTAAATTGTTGCCAATAATTAGTATGTTCCTATAAACTTGAAGTGAGGACGCATACCGAAAAATAATACGAAAAAATTGAAAGTGCTGGCAATATTATTAATCAAAAATTTATAAAAATAATTAGTCTATGAGCTTTTATTTGCATTTGCAATATGTATCGAGTAGTTATTTACATTACAAAATATCGTTTTTCCGATCACAGCTATCAGTAAACGGCTTACGAAGGCGCCAACTTTTATATTTATCTGCTTTATATAATATATGTATTTATTTTGTAACTACCTAATAGAGGCGACATTATATACTCGTTTAGAGCATACAGTAATAACCACTATATTTTGCTCATACCTTGTTTATGAAGCCAAGCTTATATTTCGGCTTAAAAAATGTTTTATTAAGCACACACGTACCCTACCGTACCGCTATACTCGTACATCGGTGTGTGTGTGTGAATAAGAAGAAGCCAACAGCTTATGGTTTATGGGCATGGCACGTTTGCGATAATTGCTTCAGTGGCATTAATATTCCGTAAAGTACACAAAAAACATAAAATTTTGTTTATATTTACGTACCGGATTGCTAATATTGAAGTAAATAATTTTTATTATTTGTAAAAATTTAATAGAAGCCACTTCGTTTTTTAATTAATTTATTTTTTTCGCTAAGCACAGTTAACAGTAAGCTTTTCAAGTTTAGATGACAAATTTAAAGTAAAAACTGTTCTTTAGTTGAATAAAGGAATTCAATTCAATTTTCCATGTAAACAGAGCTTGAAGCTCACAGTTTAGAGTTGAGAGAAGTATTTAATAATTTTTTTTTGTTTGTTAGCAAAAATTGCCGGAATTACTCATACGCAGTGGCAGGTGAGAAAGTTTGTGGATTATCCTCTAGTCGTTTGACGAGATGAGCCTTCCTTTTGACTAAACAAATGTTTACCAAAATAATCAAATATCTCTGGACTTGTTTTTTTTTTCATGAGTTAATAGAAAAGGAAATGAAAACCATTTATTGTCAACACTAGCTCATTAGCATTGGCGCCGGTCTACCTAAGTAAATCAGCAATGAATTTTAAAAAGGCAAATACATTTATTTAATTATAAGCTATATAGCTAAACAGTAGCACATAAAGGAATTCAGTAATAATTGTGATGATGAAAAAGTAGAAGAAGAAAACTGATGATTGGCTTGAAAATTTTTAAGACACACAACTACATATTTATATACATATGTTCATATAAGCGTATGAAACACTCTTGCAGACAAATAAAAACTCAATAGAAACAGCTTGCTTCCATCGCTGGGTATGAGGCGCCAGCCGGATTTTATTTTTTTAAGTGGTTTTGACATTCTTGTGGCACTTCTTTTGGCTGATAACTTAAATTCATACTCAGTGCTAAGAGTAAACAAAACATCGAATAGCATAAATAAACTGAGTGAAATAAAATAAAATAAGATAAAGTCAAATAAAATTATATAAAATAAAATATTATATAGAATAATAAAAAAAATAAAATAAAATAATAAAATAACCTAGCTAAAAACAAAAAATAAATTCAAATGAAATAAAATGAAATAAATAAGAAAAAATAAAGTAAAATAACACGAATAAAAATCAAATTATATAAAATCAAATAGTGCAATATAAAATATAATAAACCAAAAGAAAGTTAACTAATGTGATAAAAAAAATTCAAAAAAAAATAAAATAATAAAAATAAAATAATAAAAAGTTGTTTAAAACAAAATAATTAATTATAAAATAAAATAGAACAAAATAAAATAAAATATGTAAAATGAAATAAAATAAATAATATAAAATAAAATAAAGTCAATTAAATAAAAATAAAATGAAACAAAACAAACTCACATAAAATAAAATAAGCGAAAATAAAGTAAAATAATATAAATTAAGCTAAAATAAAATAAACTAAAATTAATATAAAATATAAAGAAACAAAATTTATTCCAATTAAATTAAATAAAACAAAGTAATAAAAAATAAAATAAAATAAAATAAATTAAATACAAATAAAATGAGACAAAATAAATTCAAATAAAATAAAATAAAATAAAATAAAGCAAAATACAATTATAAAAAATAAAACGGAATATAAGAATTAAACATAAAATGAAACAAAATAAAAGGAAGTAAAATAAAAATTTGTAAAACAAAATTTAATCAATTAAAAATAAATAAATACAAGAAAAAAACTGAAATAATATAAAATAAAATTTAAAAAATTGGAATAATTGAATAAATTAAAATAAAACCATAAAAAAACTTAATCAAATTAAACTGAATGAAATAAAAAATAAATTAAAACAAATTAATAAATAAAAGAAAAGAAAACTAAGTAAAATTAAATAAAATAACTGTTATGAATTGAAATGCAGCAAAATGTAATGAAATCAACTGAAATGAGATTAAAAAAATGAAATGAAAGTAAAAAATATTTATAACATTAAAAATTAAAGTCAAATAAAATAAACTGAAATAAAACAAAAAGCCATAAAATAAATCAAACTAATATAAAATAACATAAAATGAAAGAAAATAAAATAAAATAAAATAAAATAAAAAAATTAACTAAAATTATCTGAAATGAACTGAAATGAACTGAAATAAAATAAATTGATAAAATTAACTAAAAAAGAATAAAAATAATTTAAAAAAAGAAACAGAAAAAAATTTAAAAAATAGAGCAATATAATTTTAAAAATATAATTAATTAAAAATAAAATTAAGTAGAACAAAAATTAATTAATAAAATAAAATAAACTAAAAAATAATAATATAAAAGAATTTTTAATTATAATAAAGGAAGAGATTAAACTTAAATGAGAAAAAATAAAATAAATTTAATAATATAAAAACTTAAAATAAAATTATATGGAATAAAGTGAAATAAATAAAATTTTAACTTTAATTTAAAAGTAAAACAACACAAAATGAAGCAAATAAATCAGGGTAATTAAAAATTAAATTAAAAAATTGAAAAATTTGGTAAAACCGATAATTAAAATTAAAAGAAAAAAAAAAATAAATAAATAAAATAAAGTTAATGAAAGTGAAATTAAATAAAAAAAGATTATCTTAAATTAAAGTAAATTAAACTAATTTAAACAAAGTAAATTGAAATAGAAATATATAAATAAAATGACATAAGTTTAGCTGAAATAATTTAAATAAAATAAATTAAAATAAAGTTGCTTAAATATAACTTTCAAATCTCATGCAGCAGAAGCTATATGATATTATTTTTATTCTATATATGTATGTAGAATATTTTGCTTAAGTTCTGCGAACAGTGTGTATATACATGCATACATCAGTGTTTACATTTCTATACGAGTACATATATTAAAATGCTTTGTAATATATATATACATATTTTTATATTTTGTATTCATTCAAGCTCGTGCAGTGGCATATACTTACATTAGTCTGGCTCTTTTTATAGTTGATTAGATTATTTTTAGATTAGATTTCAGTCTTTTAGTAAGTTCTTAGTTTTCCAGTTTAAATCTTTTGTTTGAAAGCACCAAGTTTTCTGAAAAAAAATATTTGCTAATAATAATTCGAGGTACGGAAAATCCTACATGCACCGATTAAGTTATTCGGTATTCCTTATCAATGCCTTTTATGCGAATTTCCGATATAAATTTCATACTCGTGCCAATTTTTATAAAAATAAAATAAGTTATTCCTTACTGTTGTATTTTGTTTGAAATTTTACACTCCTTATAGGTATATAATACTTGTTGCAATCCATTAGACATGCACGCCATGGCGTTCAGTGTTGTAAACAAAGTTACCTAACAACGTTTCTAATGTTTTTTTTTACAGTTTTTTTCTATAAATAACACGCTCCACAAGCCGTATTTATTATCAGCTCAAAATCTGTTGGAGATTAGATTATAATATAATTTTAATTAAATTACTAGTTATTTGCTTACAAATAAACAACAACATTTTTCTTAGCAAAAACTTAACTGATTAATGGAAAAAAATAAACTCATAAATTATGAATCTGATAACAAATTGTCTGCCTTTAATTTCTTATGTATTTAGTTTCGGAATTATACAAGTATATGTAGTGTATGTATATATTTTATATTGACCATATTTTTTTAATTACCTTCTTTACTTCTTTCTCTACTTTCAGTGTTCTATACAAAGTTATAATATGGAAGATCTGGAATTGGATCAGGTCACACAGGTGATTAATTATCATCCACTTTTCCTCGATCATTTTCTGCGCACACAAAATTTCATTATGGACGGTGATGGACCACTACCATACGATTATCGATATTACTTGGCCATTATTGTGAGTATCAGCCTTTTAAGTTAAATAAGTATAATATAAATGTTATATATTTAAAAAAAAAATAAAAATTATTTATATTTGTTTTTTATATTGCGGTGCAAAAATTAAGTTTACTAGAAAATATCTTTTTTTTGATCCATTTTGTACTAGTTATTGCTCTGTTCTGATCATTGTTCCACTGCTTGGTGATCAAAAGTTGTCAAATTTACGATTCCTTTCGATTTTTGCAAAGCAAAAATAAGTTTAAAAAAATCGACATTAGTAGTCCTTATTGCAGCAGCTACTCACATTTCTCTCTTGAGGTTTGAATAGCCGAGAGCTGCGTTCTCAATATAACTTAGTTTTAAACATTCTCTTACTAGTTTTTACTAGGTGATTTTTACGGCTCTTTTCTTCAAAATCAAATCTCATAGACATGATTTGATCATTTTATTTTATGTTATCGATAAATATCACGATTTTTCCCTTATTTTTATCAATTTTGAATAATGATTATTTTGCACTTTATTTTTTCGATAAAAACCTTTGCTTTTACATAAAAAATTTATTGTAATTTACTTATTTTAATTTATCAATAAAAAAACATTTATTTTATTTACTTTATCGAAAAGACTTTAATTTTTTTTATCAATAAAGCAATACTTAGCAATACTTTTTACTTTTTTAGTCTATATTTTGTGATTATATATATTTTTTTTAGCTCTAATTATTTTTTATCATATTTATTTTATCAGTAAAACGATCATATCTATTTATTTTATCGAAAATCTAAATTATTTATTTATTTCGACAATAAAAATCACCTTATTTCATTATTCCCTTCCACACACTAAAAATTTATCGATAATTTCTGAAAACCTAAATGCTTTGAAAATAGAAATACAATAGAGCGGTTATATGAAAATAAAGAAAACAAATCGAAAATTAATTAAAAGTGATGGAGCAAATAAAAACAAATAGAAAAAATAATTAATTTTTTTAATTTCAATAAAATTAGAGTTTTTTGTTGAATTTTATATAGCTGATTATATATAATTTTTGATTCGAACACGTGATAAAGGACAAAATAATTTAAATAATTTATTTGACTTAATATTTTTTTCAAAAGAAGAAGCTGTATATTTACATTTAGCTTCAAATTTGTAATTGAATGTGTGCAAAGGGCTGAGTGCAGGTGCTTCTTTCTGATGATATCATTATATATATATATATATATATATATATATGCATGAAATTAAATTTCCTTTATTTTTCGTTTTTTTTTTGTTCACTTCATAATAATGAACAATGGAGAGCATTGTGTGGTGGCTTGTTGAGATGCATTTGATTTGTTACATTTTGTTGCTTCTTTGTTTTTTGGTTAATAAATATAAATAATATTTACATACAAATTGCTTGAGAAAAATAATATTATTATTTTTAATTTTATTATTTTATTTATACAAAAGATTTTGATAAAAACAAACAAATTATGTACATTACTCTATGCAGCTATTACATACATAGTTACAAAAAGTGACAGAGCTCTTTCTCTCGGTTTAACTTAACGCTGTCCGTACTGGGTTCGACCAACAACAAAACTTATGAAATTTCAAATAAAAAAAAAAAGTTGAAATAAAAAACTATTTAAATATTTTCCAAATTTTTTCGTTTTCCAAACTCCAATAATTTGTTTTATATTCTCAAAAAAAAAAAAAAAAAAAATTTCCAACCATATTCAGCGAAAAGATACAAATATAAATTAACTTCCAAATTAATATTTTTCCGAGACAAATTTTTTTAATTTTAGATAAACCATTTTAACGGCTTACAAAGATATTATTGGGACTTTAAATTTTATTCTGTTTTTCATATATAATTTTTTTTATTGCCTCAAACTAAATTTTATTGATCTACTCGAATCCAAATTGTTACTTAGCCCAACTAAGCTCTCATTAATAAGAAATAATATGTAATATAGTGATTTTCGGGAAGTTTCTAACACTCAAATTGGCAGACAAAGCTTTGCAAATATTTTCATTAAAGTTTGCTAGTCGAAAATACTGAAAATGTTTTTATTTATGTCATCGTTAAAAAAACGATTATTTTTGTTTCTTATATCGAAATAAAAATGATTATAGTTTTTATATGTTTTATCGATATAATAATTATTATAATTTTATGTTTAATTCTATTTGTTTTATTTATCCAAAATAATTATTTTTCTTTCCATTTATTTTGTCGATAAAAATTTTTATTTTTTTATTTATTTTATCAGTTTCGTTTTTTCATCTTTTCTGATTATTTTAATTTACTTTATCTATAAAGAACAATGATTATTTTATTTATTTCATCAATACAAAAAAGTATTAATTTTATTTCAAAAATATTTTTTTATTATATTGATAGCAATTAATGATTTTTATTCTACTTTTTTATCGATAAGAACGATTTTTATTTTCATTTATCGATGAATATTCTGGTTTTGATATTGATTTTGTCGTTGGATATTTTGGTTTTGATTATTTTTATTTATTATATCAATAGAAAAGGATGGATTTTTTGTTATTTGTGAAGTTAGAAGTGACAGCTGTTTCAGAGATCACCACATCTGCTCATCAGACTTCGTATGGCAGGGATCAAACCAACGAATCCTGACTGAACAGGCGAGTGCTTTATCACTGCGTCAACATCAGCCATATAATTCAATAATTATTCAATTCATTATTAACCAGCAACTATCAAGTGTCCTAATTTCTTAATAGCTTGGTTAGTGAGTTGTGTTGGAATCCTTTATACTTTCAGGCGTTAATTGACTCTGGATCAACTTATATATTCATAATTGATTTTGTGACCTTTTTATTTAAAGGCCTGACTTACTTAATACTTATAACCAAATATTAATATGGTATGGCGGCAAAAACAATTATGAAAAAAATAATTATTTTAGTTGCGAATATTTTTATTTATTTACCGATAGCAAATAATAATATTCGGCTTGCGCTTTTTATAGAAAAAGAACAACGATTATTTTTATTTATTGTACCAAAACAAAATATTTCTAATTTATTAGGAATATTTTTATTTATTTACATAATGGAAAAAATAATTTGTTTGTTAGATTTTTTTATCGACAAGGAACAAAGCTAATTTTTATACAATTTATCGATACAAATAATTTATGTTTCATTGCGATTATTTTTATTTATTTTGTGGAACGAAAATAATGATTTTTTTGTTAGAGTTTTTAAGCAATTATTTATAATTTTTTTTTTTTGCTAATATAAAAAATTGCTATAATTGTTATTAAAATAGAAAATAGTTTTTATTTATCGATGAAAAGCAAATACAGTTTTATTATTTTTTATTTATTATTTTTTTATTATTTATTTTTTTATTATTTATTTTTTTTATTTTTTATTATTTATTTTTAGTTGTTTTATATATTATTTTCATTTATTTGTTAATAAAAATAATGTTTATTTTTGCTTTAGTTTCAAATTTTTTAATTAAAAGATTTTTACTTCTTATTTTGTAGCCGTTTAAATTTTATAAATATTTTGCAAAAAATTTATTCTCTATAAAGATTTGTGTTTATCAATAAAAAAAGTAAACATTATTTATTTTAACGAAAAGATTTTTCAATTAAAATAAAAAAAAAATAACACCAACAAGTTATGTAGTAATTTCTCTTATTATATTAATATCAATAAAAACTGCTTTCCTCAGATTGCAATGATAATGTGATGAGATCATCAGCTGTGAATTTATACTCAATTTAAGCTTTATATAATATATTGCATGCGAGTATGTACATATATGTATGCATGTGTATAATTATTGATATTTTTCACCCACAATGCAATTGAAGAAGCTTTTTATGGCATTATAGTGATTAAGTTTTCGCATTATTATTGCCTTATTTTCTTTATTTTATTTTGTAGTTAATTACAAATAACAATTAAGTGCGCATACTCGTACGCAGCTATTTATTTACACATTTACATATGGGCATATATATATATGGGCATATATATATATATATCTATATATATAATATGTTTAATTACTTTTTCATTTATCTAATAATAGTAAATACCACTCATAATTGTTTTCGATTTTATTATATTTTTTTTTGTGGATACTTAACTTGTTGTTTTTGTTTATTTTTCTTTTTTTTTAACCGCCTGCGATTGCATTGAAATTCTTAACCAACAAATTTGCATTGCAAATTAGATTTGTGTTGTTTATTGTTATATATATATATATATGTTTATATAATCATTGTTATTACAGCTGTTGTTGTAGTTTTTGTATGCAAATGCGGTTGTCCTTATTTTTTTTCTGTGTATATGTATGCATGTATGCGCATTTTTTTTTGCTGCTTGCCAGCTGTTGCTCGCATGCCATTATTCAGTGCGTTGAGTCCCTCCACACGTTGGGAAAACATCAAGATGCAAAACCACAAATTGGAGGAGGAGCTCGGCCGAAAATCGCTTCAGCGGTGACAAAGTGAAAATTATTTATATATATATATATATATTTATTATTATTTATATATATATATATATATTTATTATTATTTATATATATATATATATCAGTCCCATATAAAATAAATAAAATCGTGTTACATGTTTATTTATCAAATCTATTAACATATGAATCGTTGGAAATGCAATAAAATTGTGCTATTTTGCTATAACACGCTTTTACTCGTCGGTGACTCAAGCACATACGTATGTACATATATATATAAATATGTATTGTATTTGTTACTTCAATAAAACGGTTTGTTAAATATATAATTTTCTCAAGGAAGGAAAGTATTTTAATTCAATTCATAATTTTATCACTATTTATGTAAATTTTGTATAACGGTATGCCATTTTATTACAAGCATACATGTGTATGTAGTTATAATATTGATAAAAAAAAATTCACAAGTAACATAAATTTATTTAACCAATTAATTTCACCTACTTTTGAAGCTAATCGAAAATAATAATAACTTAAGATTA